CGACCAATTTACTGCATGGATTTGTTACATACAAGGAAACTGATTTATGCGACCAATTTACTGCATGGATTTGTTACATACAAGGAAACTGATTTATGCGACCAATTTACTGCATGGATTTGTTACATACAAGGAAACTGATTTATGCGACCAATTTACTGCATGGATTTGTTACATACAAGGAAATTGATTTATGTGACCAATTTACTGCATGGATTTGTTACATACAAGGAAATTGATTTATGCGACCAATTTACTGCATGGATTTGTTACATACAAGGAAATTGATTTATGTGACCAATTTTTTCAACTTCAAATCTACATTTGCAATTTTGAAGATATGTTTTGTTTAAATCTCACATTTTAACCATTTCTAAAGCACCCACCCAGGTAATAATTAACTATGAACAGGCCTAACAAAGCATTAACATTCTTAGTTTTTTTACATGTTGACAAACCAAACAGTATACCTTCTGTAGTCTTCAAAACAATTAAGTTTACTAATTACAAAACAATCCATGTCTCAACTGTTCAGAAGGTATTGTAATGTTTTGGTTATAACATAACATTAAGTGAAGTCCCACACTTAATTACTAAATAATCCCAATTGTTGTAAACATACTGTAATGTTTTCTTTGTTTTAATACTTTTTTTTTTATATCCCAAATAAAATTTTATATTTAATAATGTCTTTAGGAAGTTTTGATCTCTAGAACTGTTCTGTTTCTTTTGAATCCAATACAGTGAAACCAAGAAACTTTCATGTAACATACATTAAAAACACAGTTTCCATAAAAACATGACCCTATTCTGGCTAACAATGACAATAGTTTTGTTTTTGCTACTTATTACATACATTTATCCCAGGAGTAATATCTTCCAAATGGTCACCAAATTCAAATGATTCTACAACTTTACAGATATTATATAAAAAATACTTCAAACTTTGTGTAACAGATAACTAAGCTTATTTCCTAACTACATAACAATTAAATCTCAGTAGTACCACTTACACATAAAAACAAACAGCATATTTATTTTACACCTAAAATCACACTCATCAACTTTAAATTGCATTTTAAACATTCACAAAAAATGTAAACATGCACAGAAACTTTATAGGTGTATGTATATATATATATATATATATATTGGTATGTATATAATTCTACGAAAATCAAACAATGCAATTTAGACAAATATGCATTAGTAGAAGTACTGTATACGTATAAATGTCGGTGACAATGGAGTTGAATAAATTAGAACAATGTAGCCCTTTCAAGCATATCTATAAAATAAGAAATTCACACTTGCAGTGAATACAGGAACTATAAGATATCACCGGTATATTTTGCTTCTACAAAAAATTGGAACTGAGGTATTACCAGGCGTTTCTTTGTTGTTTTCTTACTGTGTTGCTTTTATAGAAAGTGGAAACAATAAGATACAACCATTTTGTTATATTTGCTGTTTTGCTTTTGTAAAAAATAATATATTATTTTTTTAATTACTGTATTACTTCTATAAAAAATGTGAACTATCATATATTTTTAACATACCGGCTTCTATAGAAAATGGAACAACCTACTATGGGTTCATATATTTTTTAATTTATTTTATTTCTACAGCAAATGAGAATCTTAGGTTTTCACCGGTATCCATTTGTACATATTTCTATAGAAAACTGAAATATTGTCAATTCCTTATTGTGTTGTTTTTAACTTACTGTGAATTTTATAAGAAGTTTAAAACATATGATTAGTTGCCTTTTTTTTATGAACTATGTACAGTATCGTCAGTGTACATTTTACTAAATTAGCACACTAACTATGAATTCTAGATGTACAGGTAAGATAATGAGGTACTTCATGATATAATTCTATCTGAATTTCCAAAGTAATCCACTATGGGATTTGTACTACAATTTGTATCTTTAGAATTTGGTTTTGATTAAACTAAAGGAAATCAGAGTGTGTCCCAGGTCAACAAGAAAAAATAACAATAACAAAAAAAAAATATTAAATTGTGCAATAGTAAGTCCACCAGAGGGCTACAATGTTCTAAATAATCACACATATACAAAACACATCTGTAAAAATAAAAATCCAACACAATCATTAATTATATCGAGGTAGTATTACGTTGTGCTTGCTGCTTGAGCAGCTAGATATAGGCACTTTGAAGAATATAAACCTCTACAAGTACGTATTATAACAAAAATAACACCCTCCTTAGTTAGCTATTCCATAGGATCAAGCATAAAAATAACTTCACCATTTCCCCTAAAATTTTCATTTTTGTGGTTGCACTATACACGTATACATTTCTACCCACAATTTACAATCAGATGCTTTCCTATTTACTTGTAAGGTATTCTAGTTACGGAACCATCTCAATCTGTACCAACTCGTTTCAAATCTCTGTGGTGTATTTTCTTATGATTATCATACCATAAACCTGCTTAATAGATGCAGCCTCCTCAAGGGCAACCTAAAGCCCTAAAAAACAACTTATCACAACAATTGTAACTGACAAAAGCAGGTGTATGAATGACAATTGTAACTAACAAAAGCAGGAAATTAAAACAGTGTAGAGTGGAAGCCTACTGCTAGGAGATTGCTCTTATAGCTTTAAAAACAGTGTAGAGTCCAAGCCTGCTGCTAGGGGATTGCTCTTATAGCTTTAAAAACAGTGTAGAGTGGAAGCCTGCTGCTAGGGGATTGCTCTTATAGCTTTAAAACCAGTGTAGAGTGGAAGCCTGCTGCTAGAAGATTGCTCTTAAAGCTTTAAAAACAGTGTAGAGTGGAAGCCTGCTGCTAGTAGATTGCTCTTATGGCTTTAAAAACAGTGTAGAGTGGAAGCCTACTGCTAGGGGATTGCTCTTATGGCTTTAAAAACAGTGTAGAGTGGAAGCCTACTGCTAGGGGATTGCTCTTATAGCTTTAAAAACAGTGT